CCAAAGATATTTGCTTCAACACAATGTCTAAATTTTCACATTATCTGTTTTAAAATTTTATATACAAACTAAAGTTTTGTATACAAAGAGAAAAGATTGTTATTTGGTGTTGCACCCTTTATAATCATCAATGTTGTGCTCTAATAGTAGACATAACATATGTTTGTTTTTATAAACCATGATTTTCTATTTTAAATATGCTTTGCGTTAGTTTTTTTAAAACTAAATTAAAATGGTTTGTTTTCGTCTTTATTGCATTTTAACAAGGTATCATTCTCGTATTGTTGCAAGGACACAGTATTAATAAGTGCACTTTTGATATCTAAAAACTTGCGATTATGATCTTGTAATTGCATAGAAGCACAAGGATTCAACCGTAAGAGGCATGAGAACTCAAAAGCTTTTTACAGTGTCAACTCTTCTGCTGGTGATATTCACATGTTTTTTTTCATCAAGTACGCTCTTATACCAAAACCCTTCTAATTTCATAAATTTTTTTCAATTTTGCTTAAAATTTATTGTTAACGACATTAATCATTGGTCACATGGCAGCAAAAGGAGACTTCTTCATGTTTTGCACTGGTCGGCCATGTTCTGAAACTTACGATGATGTTTCCTGTAACGACGATTGTCTCATACTCGATTCCTTTGGGTTTTGTGTTCCAAAAATTCTTAATGATTCTTCTAATAAGGAAAAACATTGTTGTTGTTATGATTGATCGAAGAAAAATACTTTGTCTAGATATGGATGTATGCTTATATTTGAAATATTTCAATAAAGCTGTTCTGATGTTCACCTTTAATAAATCGTAGCTCATGAAATATGTCAAGAACATATCTATACAACTTCATTGACAAGAATACCACTAAATCATAGTTTTCTAGTTTTTGGAAACAAAATTGTATGTATACATCCTAGGTTTCTCGTTACTTGAATCTCTAATCAACTATCATAAATCTACTTTAATTTGGATTTATTTTGAAGTACTTTAGTTTTAATATCTAAATTGCAACATATCTAACACTATAAATGTTAAATAAAAAGAAAAAAAAAATTAATGGAACATATCATGTAAGGATCCAAAAAATAAAAAAAGAAGGGTCACCGAAAAAAGGGGGCGAGAATTGCGATGATTCGCCAGAATTCTCGCACCCTCACCCTACACATTTCCCTAACACCAAGAACATGCCAACGGCCTTTAGCCGCACCTCACAAAATCTACCTGCAAAGAAAACTAGTATGATATAGAGGGAAAACGAGAAAGAAGAAGAAAAGACTGTTGAGTTACCTCACAACGAGCACGACACCGACAACCACCCCGTCGAGATTCATGGAGCTGTATAGTGTAGATAACAACATGGGAGAGAGGACTAATATAACGACCCTAAATTTTCTACTTAACCTAAGGCCGCTACCGTACACATATCATGAACATTTAATGCGGAATTAACTTTATTGAAACTTTATAATAACTTTAACCTTAGTCTTGCATGCTTCAATTAATGCAATGAAATAAACTAATACAAATTGAAATAAAACGAAAATAAAAGCTATACAAAATGAAATGTCCTACCGTAACCTATATGCTACTAAATAGAAATGCAATTTAACCTATACTAACCTATAGTCTATTAAAATTAGAAATACAAAATTATCCTAAGCATGTACTAGGATAACTTAACTAACCTATAGTCTATTAAAATTAAATCAAAGTACGAGCTCTTATTAACAGACGTTCATAGTTCATTTTGGATTAAGGTCAAGTCTCCATATAATCATGTTATGAATTATTAATCTTCTCACCTTAATGGATTATAAAGAAAAATTAAATATTTCATGGTACAAATTTATACAAACTCTTTGTATAAAATACCATCACTCACATCACATGAACAATTTGGATCAAATGATTAGTAAAGGCACCTGATTTTATCCATATAGTATTAGACAAGTTATTTGTTGAACATTATCCTCTCGTATGTCAATCATATACTATTCAAGATTACACTAATAATCTGAGTTTTTCATATAATGGATAATATCATATTACAAATAAAATTAGTATGTAACAACCTAATTTCCAAAGGAAATTAGAGTCGCTACCATGTGTATGATATAATCTCTTTATGCGGAAACATTCATTTACAATAATTTCATAAAACCATACCATGGACTTATACATTTAAAATAAAGTCTTAAAGTAAGTCAAAGAAAATATTTAAAGTAAATTAAAATACAACAATTGAAAATGTTGAAAGAGCAATGACCTATACTAACCTAAAGTCTACGGAAAATAAATGCAACTATCTTATGTAGGTTCCATGGTTTGCGATGTCGCCGCCAACCATGGGTGCCTTGCTTTTACCTGAAATATAAAAGTAGAGTGACCCCACTATTAGGGTTAGGGAATGCAAACACATGCAACATGAATGGGACCTATCATTTAAAATTATATTCTCTTAGGCAGCTTTCCAGTCCGGGTCATCGAACGTATATTTACTAATCTACACACAACCCATATGTGTGAATATAGACCCACCAGGCAATTTGCACACCTCCTAGGCCTCGTACTGGTCAGACTAGCGTCTCTGGTGCTGTTGTCGGATACTAGAAGGAATAGCGACCATCGTAGCATCATGTTAAACTATGACGATCATCTTTTTTCATAACGTACGCGTCCGTACTCATCATAAGGAGAAATATCCCGATGCATGTGAACATACATTATGCATGAGATCCCAAAATTTTTCATAGTAAATAAATCATGTAAGACAACCCCGTTTTTTCTTCATTTCATTTCATTTATAGCATAACCTTTAAAACATGTCTGTGGGGTCGTATGTTATAAATCTTCTTGTCTCAAAATATTTCATCGCATGTCGTACATGTTACAGCATATCATGGCACTTTATAGTTTATCATAAGTCGTCAAGGCATAATGTGACATCCATTTGCATTTTAATGTTACTAAGCATATGTGGGCATATCATTTATCAATCCATATCATATCATTACAACATGTCATATTGTACAACACATCATGTCATGCAACGTATCATATCTTATCATCCAACATATCATATTCCATTGTTCTAACATATCATATCATAAACACAATACACATATAAAAAATATGACATGTGCAGGGTCACTGAGCACGTGTCATCATACATAACACAAATCTTCTAATTATATCTATTGGATGATGTTCATCTAACAATATCAACATAAAGGCACTTCCTTCGTTGGCCTTAGCCAACTTTCTATCCTATTTCGAGATTGGCTTAACTTATCTTTTGTTTATTTTATTTTATTTATTATTTTTTTTTCTTTACTATCGTTACTATTAGCTGCCACATAATCATTCCATTAGGTAAATTAACGTCAATTTGTATTAAGGACCTCTTAAAAACCAATTTCAAACTATAACGTCAATTTTTTAGTTCACCGAAGGTGAAAGAGATTCAAACTTTCTATTATTTTGAGCATTAGGAAAGAAAAATTAAAATTTATAACTTCATACATTCCCACATTCATGAATGAATAAAAAGCCGCTAGTTATGAACAAAGCAAGGAAAGATCAATATATTAATGCCAGATCCAAGAAAATCCCTCCTACAATATTAATTTAATACATTGATCCACAGATTAAGTAAAATTGTCATGGGATAGTTTATGATATTCCTATTATTTGATTATGATTATTCCCACCATAGACTATATTATAAAATTAAATTTCCATTAATCAATGCCCCCATTAACATGCTAGCACATGCCCTTGTTCCCTCTCAATGGGGTCCCTAAATATTTATACCCTTTTCTTTCTCCTTACCCACAAAAAAAAATGAGTACATAAATACCATAAATTAAGGTATAAAATAATAAAACCAAAAAAGAATCTTCTTTTTCCCTAAATAATACAATTTCATAGAATAAAATACCATTTGACAACCAAACAATGTAATGTGTGTGATTATTAAGCGAAAAAAAAAACCATTTTTTTGGAAAATTAATTAGTTGTAATAATAATAATAATAATAATAATTAAACATGACAAACAAACCAACCAGACAGACAGTAGGTGAAGGTTTACAGCTCTTCATGTCTCATCCATTACAAATATTGTCCCCAACAGCACATTATTTTGGGTTTTTTTTTTTTTTTTCTGTATATACTAATA